TGAGACAGGGTCTCGCTTTCACCCAGGCTGGATTGCAGTGGTTCAATCACTGCTCACTGCAGCCTCGACCTCCTGGGCTCAACTGATCCTGCCATCCTGGCCTCCCGAGTTAGCTGGGACCATAAACGTGCACCACCACACCTGACTAATTTTTGTATTTTTTGTAAAGACTCGGTTTCGCCATACTGCCCAGGCTGGTCATCCCATTTCTTAACTACCATCTAAAGATTTCCACTCTGCTGGGAGGACAGCCATGAGACGGAGTCTCGCTCTGTCGCCCAGGCTGGAGGAGTTTAGTGGCACAATCTGAGCTCACTGCAACCTCCCCCTTCCACGTTCAAGCCATTCTCCTGCCTCAGCCTCCAGAGTAGCTGTGATTATAGGCGTGCACCACCACACCCAGCTAATTGTTTTGTATTTTTAGTAAAGACGGGGTTTCACCGTGTAGGCCAAGCTGGTCTCGAACTCCTGACCCTAAGGGGTCCACCCGCCTCGGCCTCCCAAAGTGCTGGGATTACAGGTGTGAGTCACCATACCCAGCTCATGAATGCTTGCTTTATTCACCTTTTTTCTTAATGACCATTAAAAAATGTCCACCTTCATGAGAGAAGTCCTTTGAATCTCCATTATTTTCCCCCATCCATTTTCTTCTTAATTAACTTGATATTGTTAATTGGCACTTGAAAGTTCCAACAGGAGATGTGGAGACAGCAAATTTGATAAGGCTTCCTGAGCTGTCTTTTGGTTTTGTAGAAGTAAGGTACCGTGGGATGTATACATTAAAGGAACAACCTTAAATTATTTTTCTCTCCTTCTTTGCTTGTAGTTCTCAAGAACAACTTCAGAATGTATTGGGAAGGTAATACCCTGAAATGAAGAAACTGGCCCAAGCAGCCTGGGCTCCATTCCAGAGTCCCCTGCCCCTCTTTCAAAAAACAGGATATCCTTCAGTGCTTTAGGGTGGCTCATCACGAGGCCATGTGCCATAAAACCTAGGATGGGTGCTCTCTGAGGTCCGTCAGCATCAGTGCCGGTGGGACACCAGTAGATAAGACTCCATCTTCCCCAAGCAGTTTTCCTGAGCCTTGGGGGACCAGCTTGCAATGAATCAATCCTAGGCTTCTACTGCCCCTTGTTGCCTGTCAGTAGTAAACTCACTTTATTGAACTTGTGTGCATGGGTTCTGTCTCACTGGAGTCAGACATTTGGTAACCAGTGCGAAGTGAACCTACATCACAGGCAAGAGAGTTTGTAATCCTCCTATGCTTGGTGGTGAGAATGTACAATGGCACACCCACTATGGAAAACAGTATGTTGGAAAACTTCCTCAATAGGGTACCTACAAAACCTTAGAGCAAACATCATACATCATGGTCAAAAAGTGAGATTCCTTTCCCAAGGTTGGGGACAAGGCAAAGATGTACACTGTTACCACTTTTATTCCACGTAGTGTTGGCAATTCTTGGCTGAGGGTAGTGGCTCACGTCTGTAATCCCAGAACTTTCGGAGGCTGAGGCAGGAGGACTGATTGAGTCCAGGAATTTGAGACCAGCCTGGGCAAGATGGGGAGACCCCATCTCTACAAAAAAAAAAACCTGAAAATTGGCTGGTGGCTGGGCGAGATGGCTCATGCCTGTAATTTAACCACTTTGGAAGGCTGAGGCAGGAGGATCCCTTAAGCCCAAGTGTTCAAGAGTGCAGTAAGCTCTGACTGCACCACCGCACTCCAGCCTGGGTAACAAAGCCAGACCCCATCTAGAAAAGAATAATAAATGAAATAAGAAAAATAAGAGACCAAAAAGGAAAGCATAATAGTGTACATGATGATGGCTGTGGTAAGCTAATGACCCCCACCCCCAAAGATACACATACAAAGGATTTCCGTATCAATAGCCCTATACCCTATATTACATGGTTTCTCAAAGCAGAGTTTGCAGATGTCATCTGGCTGAGGGCCTTGAGATGGCAGAATATCCAGGATTATCTGGTTAAAGCAACATCATCACAAGAGTCCATATAGGAAAAATACAGGTGGACTTAGAATCACAGAGAATTGGCAATGCTTGCATAGCAAAGACACAAGGAGATTTTATGACACTACCTTCTGACTGTGAAAACGGAGGGATGTAGACCATGAGGTAAAGGATCTAAGTGGCCTCTGGAACCTAGCAGGGGTAAAGAAATAAACTCTTCCCTAGAGATTCAAGAAGGATCATAGTTCTGTAAACCTGTTTTGACCTCTGACCACCACACATTAACAACATAAATTTGTGGGGTTTTTTGGTTTTGTTTTTGAGACAGAGTCTTGCTCTGTCGCCCAGACTAGAGTGCGGTGGCACGATCCCGGCTCACTGCGACCTCCACCTCAGGCAATTCTCCTGCCTCAGCCTCCCGAGTAGTTGGGATTACAGGCATGTGCCACCGCGTCCGGCTAATTTTTGTAGTTTTAGCAGGGTTGGGGTTTCACCATCTTGGCCAGGCTGGTCTCAAACTCCTGACCTCATGATCCACCTGCCTCGGCCTCCCAAAGTGCTGGGATTACAGGTGTGAGCCACCATGCCCAGCCTAAATTTGGGTTGTTTTAAGCCACTCACTTTGTGGTAATTGTTACAGCAGCAATGGGAAATTAATAGTTTATGTAGAAAACCCTAAGAAATCTAAAAAATCTGGAGAACAAGATTTTAAGGAAATAGACTACGAAATTAACATACAAAAACTACTTTATTTCTATATACTAGCAATTAATACATGGAAATTGAAAATAAAATACAATACTCCTCTGGTTTGAATATCCCCAACAAAACTCATTTGGAAACTTGGTCCCCGGTGTGGCCATATTGAGAGGTGGAGCCTTTAAGAGGTCACTGGATCATGAGAGTTCTGCTGTCATGAATGAATCAATCCATGCACAGATTAATGGACTGTGTTACCATGGGAACAGAAATGATGGTTTTATAGGAAGAAGAGAGACCTGAGCAAACAGTATACTCAGCGCTCTCACAATGATGTGCCACATTGCTTCAGGATGCCGCAGAGTGTCCACCAAGAAACCCTTAACAGCATTGACCAAAAAGGTCAAAAAATGTCTAATTTTAGTAAGGAGACCTTTGTTTCTTACAAAGGGTCGCAGCCTGCAGGCTAGCCATCTGGCAGGGTGGGAAGCATGGTCTCTACCAGAAGCAACACAGGTAGTTCAGAGGAGGAAAGCTGCCGCAGGAATTTATGCTGAATAGCAGTATGTTGAATATTAAGTAAACATACTCAACAGGTTATGGGAGAGTCATGCCTGTGTGTGATAAGCAAACATACATGTTCCTAGTTTATCTACCAAAACCAAAATTTAAAAACTCACCTTATTTTCTTATATTTACCTCTGTAAGCATGGGAAACCGATCACGAGTCAGGATCGAGACCATCTAATCCTCTTTTCCAAATATTACTGATCCAATATGCTCACCCAAGAGAACCATTCAAACATGAAGGAGGTTTTATCTTTATTCTCCACTTTTTTTTTTGAGACAGAGTTTTGCTCTTGTTGCCCAGGCTGGAGTGCGGTGGTGCAATCTCAGCTCACTGCAGCCCCTGCCTCCTGGGTTCAAGCCATTCTCCTGCCTCAGCCTGCCAAGTAGCTGGGATTTACAGGTGTGCGCCACCACATCTGGCTAATGTTTTTGTATTTTTAGTAGAGATGGGGTTTCACCATGTTGGCCAGTTTGGTCTCGAACTCCTGACCTGAAGTAATCTACCCGCCTCAGCCTCCCAAACTGCTGGCATTACAGGCGTGAGCCACCATGCCTGGCCAAATTTTAAAAAAAAAATTTTTTTTTTGAGACCGAGATTCGCTCTTGGTGCCCACGCTGGAGTGTAATGGCATGATCTCAGCTCACTGCAACCTCCACCTCCCAGGTTCAAGCAATTCTCCTGCCTCAGCCTCCCAAATAGCTGGGACTACAGGCATGCACCACTAAGCCCAGCTAATTTTGTATTTTTAGTAGAGAAGGGGTTTCACCATGCTGGCCAGGCTGGTTTCTCCTGACCTCGGGTGATCTGCTTGCCTTGGCCTCCCAAAGTGCTAGGATTACAGGTGTGAGCCACCATGCCTGGCCTAACTTTTATTTCCCATATTCTTACTATGTATTTTCACTTCATGGAAAACAAGATGCATAGCATAGGTCTTACTTGGCATACAAGAAACTGATGTGGAAATATAATAATATGGTGCATATGCATCAATGGCAATGCAGATTTTGGGGTGTAAGAATGTGAAATTAACTTTCGGTAAGATTTTCATTATACCCCCAAAAGTATCCTAAGCCACAGTGTGGGGCACATAATTCAAGCACAAAATGTGGTTATAGGTTTCCAAAACTGTGTTATTTGATTTCACCATGAAAAAAATTGTTCTTGATCCTTTAAGAGCCTAGTGGTGCATTGTTATGATGTTATGAAGTATCCTACTGAGACAGGATAAAACTATGTTGGCAGAAAGAATGTGATTCATTCATAGAGAAAAACCATTCTATTAGTTAAAACATTATATCTATGATACATTCTGAATAAAACATTAGCAAAGTGTGCTTTAAGCAGATAATGTGAGTTCTACTAAAGAATATGTTACTCTACTTCTGTTGATTAAACTCTTCACTCTGACTACTCTCTCTTCACTTTCTTTCTTTTTTAGATGGAGTTTTGTTCTTGTTGCCCAGGCTGGAGTGCAATGGCATGATCTTGGCTCACCACAACCTCCGCCTCCCGGGTTCAAGCGATTCTCCTGCCTCAGCCTCCCAAGTAGCTGGGATTACAGGCACCTACCAACATGCCCAGCTAATTTTGTATTTTTAGTAGAGATGGAGTTTCTCCATGTTGGTCAGGCTGGTCTCAAACTCCCGACCTCAGGTGATCCACCTGCCTCAGCCTCCCAAAGTGCTGGGATTACAAGTGTGAGCCACTGCGCCTGGCCTCTCTCTTCAATTTCAAAAACAAGATCAATTTTTCATCACTCTTTGCTAAACAACAGGTATTGCTCTTTAATGGATAAGGGGGCGACCTTTTCCCCTGCAGTATTTCTACCACACAATCAGTGTCTAATTACCTATTACTCTCCTCCCACAAAAATCCCAATGTCCTAGGGTCTTGGCCTGCTCCATTTCATGTTCAGTTGATAGACCATTTCTTTCTTCTAAGCCACAGTACTCTCCTGGTAGGAGAAAGGCACCCTGAACATTATCAGAATGGTGAGTGACATCATGGTTTTACATTGTTTTTTGCCACTCCCAAATGCTAATTCCAACAATACTTGATTTTAAAAGCAAAGTCCTCCTTCTTCACAAATTGGATAGAAATAATCCTTCACCTAATTAATGATCTTCACCCAATCGATGATCCTTCCATCCCAATGATCTTTCCAAGAAACCACCATGGAAGGTGTGTAAGGATGCACAATAACAGATTTCAAAGTTCACATTGAAACTCAACAGTAGGCTTTCCAAAAAACCTTAAATAACTCAATAAAACATTTCATAAGGTGAAGGTAACTGACTGCCTACAAATATCCTGCAATCTTTTCATATATGAGTTAAAAAATATAATTTTTAGCATATTTGGACTGGTGAGTATTCTACAGTGTATAATATCAAAGGCAAACAGGGAAACCAGAGACTGTTATTCCTCATAGGAATTCTCACTTACCGTCAGTCACTGGGTAATGGCCTAAGGATGCATATTACATTTGTTTGGTTTCATCAAAGATATAAATTTTGATGCCTAGTAACCTGCGAGGCCTGGATAAACCCTCTGCCACATGTTTACATGATGTCTCTTGCTTATGGCCTCTCGTATCTATTAATGCTTCAACCCATGAGGGATTAGCCACTGTCACTGCATTTGTAAGGATTCTGTCAAGAATGAATTAACTGATGTGAAAAGAGTGAATTGTACCTAATGACCTCACCACACTCATTTGTAAGGTTTCTCTCCGGTATGCATTCTGTGATGACTTGCAAGATTTGAACTCTGCCTGAAGACCTTGCCACACTCATTACATTTGTAACGTTTTTCTCCAGTGTGGATTGCCATATGGGTAGTTAGACTTGACCTTACCCTAAAGGCTTTCCCACACTCTGTACACCTGTAAGGTTTCTCTCCAGTATGAATTCTTCGGTGATTTGCCAGGTGCGCATTTTGAGTAAAGACCTTGCCACATTCGTTACATTTGTAAGGTTTTTTCCCAGTATGGATTGCCTGATGGGTGGTTAGGCTTGAACGAACACTGAAGGCTTTCCCACACTCATTGCATCGGTAAGGTTTCTCTCCGGTGTGAGTCCTTTGATGATTTGCAAGGTGTGAATTTTGAGTGAAGACCTTGCCACATTCATTACATTTGTAAGGCTTCTCTCCAGTGTGGATGACCTTATGGGTAGTTAGGTTTGAATGCATACTAAAGGCTTTGCCACACTCATTACACTTGTAAGGTTTCTCTCCCGTATGAATTCGCCGATGAGTTGCAAGGTATGAATTGTGCCTAAAAACCTTGCCGCATTCATGACATTTGTAAGGTTTCTCTCCAGTATGTATTGCCTGATGAAAAGTTAGGCTTGAACGATCACTAAAGGCTCTGCCACAGTCATTACACTTGTAAGGTTTTTCTCCAGTATGAACTCTCCAGTGCCTTGCAAGTTGTGACGTCTGAGCGAAGACTTTCCCACATTCATTACACTTGTAAGGTTTCTCTCCGGAATGAATTCCCCGATGACTTCTAAGGTGTGATTTTTGAGTGAAGCTCTTGCCACATTCAATACATTTGTAAGGCTTCTCTCCAGAGTGGATTGCCTGATGGGTAGTCAGACTTGAACGAACACTGAAGGCTTTCCCACACTCATTACACTTGTAAGGTTTCTCGCCAGTATGAATTCTTCGATGATTTGCAAGCTGTGAATTTTGAGTGAAAACCTTGCTGCATTCATTGCATTTGAAAGGTTTTGTTCCAGTATGGATGACCTGATGGGTAGCTAGGTTTGAATGCATACTAAAGGCTTTGCCACATTCATTACACTTGTAAGGTTTCTCACCAGTATGAACCCTCCGATGCCTTCCGAGGTACGAATTGTACCTAAAGACTTTGCCACATTCATTACATTTGTAAGGTTTTTCTCCAGTGTGGATTGTCTGATGGATTGCTAGGCTTGAACGAACACTAAAGGCTTTGCCGCACTCATTGCACTTGTAAGGTTTCTCTCCAGTGTGAATTCTCCAATGACTAATAAGGTGTGAATTTTGAGTGAAGAGCTTGCCACATTCATTACATTTGAACGGTTTTTCTCCAGTATGAATTAACTGATGGGTAGTTAGGTTTGAATGTCCTCTAAAGGCTTTTCCACACTCATTACACTTGTAAGGTTTCTCTCCAGTATGAATTCGCCGATGAGTTGCAAGGTATGAATTGTGCCTGAAGACCTTGCCACACTCATGACATTTGTAAGGTTTCTCTCCAGTATGGATGACCTGATGAATAGTTAGATTTGAACGAACGGTAAAGGTTTTGCCACACTCACTGCATTTGTAAGGCTTCTCTCCACTATGAATTCTCCTATGACTCGTAAGGTTTGAATTCTGAGTGAATGCCTTGCCACATTCATTACACTTGTAAGGTTTTCCACAACTGTTTGCTTTTCGTCTTTGTGTGAGTAATGAAAAATGGTTAAGTTCATGATACTTTTTAGACCTGTGGGTTTGGACACTAGAAGGAATTTGTTGAAGTGGTGATACTGAGGAACCATTGTTCGTAGACTTCTCAACTTGCTTACATTCATACATTTTCCCTTCACCTTGAAATAGCTGCAGTTCAGGCAGATGCGAATGAAAGCTTACTCCCAGCTGATTGTTAATAAGCTTGTTTTCTACGTCTCTTTTGTCGCGCTGATCTCTTTTACGTTCTTTCTGGGTCATAAGCACTCCCTTGTAATTTCCTGTGTCATCTCTCCATTGACACTCAAAGTCATGCATATTTTTCTGAAGTTCCTTGAAGGAAAAGTCTTCAATGTCAGGGCTTTCGTGTCTTTCCAACATCACTGTGTGGAATACTGCTTCTGTACTGCTCTTCTCTTCTGGTAGCAAATCCTTGGTTGTACATTTAGGAGGGATATCTATAAGACATAAAGAACCACACATTTCCAATTAATTACAGTAAATAAGTATTTTACATTGAAAACATATTCCACCAAAAGTAATACTTATATTGAACAGACTTCGGAACTTCAGAACCGTGAATTTCAATTTTTAGGAACAAAAATGTAGTTTTTTTTTTTTTTTTTTGAGACAGAGTCTTGCTCTGTCACCCAGGCTGGAGTGCAGTGGTGCGATCTTGGCTCACTGCAAGCTCTGCCTCCCGGGTTCACGCCATTCTCCCGCCTCAGCCTCCTGAGTAGCTGGGACTACAGGCGCCCACCACCATACCCGGCTAGTTTTGTTTTTGTACTTTTAGTAGAGACAGGGTTTCACCATGTTAGCCAGGATGGTCTCGATCTCCTGACCTCGTGAGCCACCTGCCTCGGCCTCCCAAAGTGATGGAATTACAGGCATGAGTCACCACCCCCAGCCAAAAGTAGTATTTTTTAACAAATAAAATGCAGTTATATGTAATTCAAATATTTGGGAAGGGCTGGGTGTTGTGGCTCATGCCTGTAATCCCAATGCTTTCGGAGCCTAAGGTGGGAGGATCACAGGAGGCCACGAGTTTGAGACCAGCCTGGGCAACATAGCAAGACCCCATCTCTACAAAAACAAAATAATTTAAAAATTAGGCCAGGCGCGGTGACTCATGCCTGTAATCCCAGCACTTTGGGAGGCTGAGGAGGGTGGATCATGAGATCAGGAGATTGAGACCAGCTTGGCAAACATAGTGAAACCCCATCTCTACTAAAAATACAAGAATCAGTCAGGCGTGGTGGCATGCACCTGTAGTCTCAGGTTCTCAGGAGGCTGAGGCAGAATCGCTTGAACCTGGGAGGTGGAGGTTGCAGTGAGCCGAGATTGTGCCACTACACTCCAACAGGGGTGACAAAGCGAGACTCCGTCAAAAAAAAAAAAAAAAAAAAAAATCAGTATGGCATGCTGGTATGTGCCTGAAGTTCTGGATACTCAAGAGGCCGAGGCTGCCGGGCACAGTGGCTCATGCTTGTAATCCCAACAATTTGGGAGGCCGAGGCAAGTGGATCACCTTAGGTCAGGAGTTCGAGACCAGCCTGGTCAACATGGCAAAACTCTTGTCTCTGCTAAAAATATAAACAATTGGCTGGGCATGGTAGTGGGCACCTGTAATCTCAGCAACTTGGGAAGCTGAGGAGGAGAATTGCTTGAACTCAGGAGGTGGAGGTTGCGGTGAGCTGAGATTGCACCATTGCACTCCAGCCTGGGCAATAAGACCAAAACTCCGTCTCATCCAAAAAAAAAAAAAAAAAAGGGCTGAGGCATGAGGATTGTCTTAGCCCAAGAGTTCAAGGTTACAGTGAGCTATGATTGTACCACTGCACTACAGCCTTAGAGCCACTAAGATGTCTTAAAAAATAAAAAAATAAATCGGGGTAGCCTAGCTTCAAACTACCTACGACCAAAACACTCACATGATGCAATCCTATGTTAGCCATCAAAGGATTATTTCTCCACCATGACCTCACAGCACAAACCAATTGGCCAAAAACATATGGCTAGCTCAGTTGAAGAAAAATAAGTTATACACATTTAAAGCATACTCATTATGTACAGATACATGTTAAAGTACAACATAATATATTATAATGGCTCAAAGGAAACATAATTAAGAAGCAGGAATTCTGAACTGCAAAACCATAACAGCACTAGGAAAATGAATATTCAATAAAACTATGTCAGAAAAAAAGGTCTTGAAATACCTATTATATAACTATATCCACACAGAGCAGGCATTTTGCAACATTAGTAAGTGGTACATGACAGTTATATTTCTTTGGGGTTTTTTTTGTTTTTTTTTAGACAAAGTCTTGCTCTATTCCCCAGGCTGGAGTGTAGTGGCACGATCTCGGCTCACTGCAACCCCCGCCTCCAGGGTTCAAGCGACTCTCCTGCCTCAGCCTCCCGAATAGCTGGGACTGCAGGCGTGTGCCATTACACCTGGATAATTTTTGTATTTTTAGTAGAGACGGGATTTCACCATGTTGGTCAGGCTGGTCTTCAACTCCTGACCTCACTATCTGCCTGCCTCGGCCTCCCAAAGTGCTGGGATTACAGGCATAAGCCTCCGCGCCTAGCCTGACAGTTACATTTCATAATACATGCTGAAAACCATAATGTGTTAATTTTATTAAAATCAACTAGTAAGATATTCTAGCAGCCCATGATAAAATGAATTGAGAGGAGTAACTGCATATATAAAATGTTCTTGTTTAAGGCCATGTGTGGAAACTTAAAAAAAAAAAAAATTATTGGCCAGGCGTGGTAGCTCACGCCTGTAATCCCAGCACTTTGGGAGGCTGCAGCAGGTGGATCACCTGAGGTCGGGAGTTCAAGACCAGCCTGACCAATGTGGAGAAACCCCATCTCTACTAAAAATACAAAATTAACCAGGCATGATGGCACATGCCTGTAATCCCAGCTACTTGGGAGGCTGAAGCAGGAGAATCTCTTGAATCCAGGAGGCAGAGGTTGTGGTGAGCTGACATCCCACCATTGCACTCTAGCCTGGGCAACAAGAGTGAAACTTTGTCTCCAAAAAAAAAAAAAAAAAATTATTGTCTGTGGGATAATAAACAATTTTCTCTTAAGAAAAAGAAAGATTTTTATTTCAGAACCAGCACAGATAACAAGAACTGGAATATGATTTTTTAAAAAAATTCTATATTGACAAATTATATATATTTACAGGAAACAAACTGATATTCTGTTATAGGTATACAATGTGGACTGATGGAAACAAGCTTATTACCATATAAGTCATCTCAAAAACCTATCATTTACTCCTAATGTTTTCACCCAGTGACCGACATCTCCCTATTCCCTCCAGTCCTCAACCTGTGGTAACCCACACACTACTCTTTGCTGCTATTAGTTTTATTGGTTTAGATTCCAAATATAAGTGAGGACATGTAGTACATGTACTTCTGTGCTAAAGCCTGGAAAAACAGAATATGCACCCCATGTAAGACTAAGAATCAATGAGAGAATGGTTTTGTTAGGTGTCTTTACAGTTATGCTGAGAACAATCTCAGAAGATAGAACCCACTCGCTTATCACACACCCCCATGAAGAACGGCAAAAGCAGAATGGAAGAAATGGCTGAGGGAACTCGACAGGCAGAGACGGCTGGAGTCTCTTCCATGAGGTTCGGGGCAGCAGATGCCAAGGAGCAGCAGCCAATGGCAGGTCTCCACGCACAGGAAATGGGGTGGAACATAAATAAGTCTAAATGTTAGGACTAAGCACTATGGAGGCTTCACCTCTGACTCATATGGACTAAGAACTGAGCACCATATGGAATTCAACACAGAGGGCGAGACCAAGAAAGCAAGCAGTCTCTTCAAAAGGAACCACAGAGTTCAAATGACAGGGTGTTGTCCATCATGATCAAGACTTTGCCTCTGTCTCTGAGGCAACTTATTTCCCCAAAGAACTGTCTCATTTGCAGAGTTTCCCACACTTTTTTATTTATTTATTTTGAGACGGAGTTCCGCTCTGCCACCCAGGCTGTAGTGCAGTAGCATCATCTTGACTCACTGCAACCTCTGCCTCCCGGGTTCAAGCAATTCTCTTGCCTCAGCCTCCTGAGTAGCTGGGACTACAGGCGCCCGCCACCACGCCCAGCTAATTTTTTTGTATTTTTAGTAGAGATGGGGTTTCACAATATTGGTCAGGCTGGTCTTGAACTCCTAAACTCAAGTGATCTGCTCGCCTTGGCCTCCCAAAGTGTTGAGATTACAGGCATGAGCAACTGTGCCCAGCCTCCCACACTCTAAGGAGTGGCCTTCTCTCTGCCCATCTGAGCTCTTACCTGTGATCACACCTTTGACACATTCCCGCATTCTTGGTTTTCTTGCTATTTTCACACAGTTCTTCACAGTCCAGGGCTCTTTCCCTTCCTCCAACATGGAGATAATATTCATATCAAAATGACACAGTCCTGTTTATAAAAAGAAAGGATCACAATGTGCTGGGGCTTTTTCAGAATCCCAGCCCTATGTTTACATGAGAGGACATTACAGGTGGATCTAAGAAAAACGTCAAAAATTCATCCACCGGGCCGGGCGCGGTGGCTCATGCCTGTAATCCCAGCACTTTGGGAGGTCGAGGCGGGCGGATCACAAGGTCAGGAGATCGAGATCATCCTTGCTACCACGGTGAAACCCTGTCTCTACTAAAAACACAAAAAATTAGCCGGGCGAGGTGGCAGCGCCTGTAGTCCCAGCTACTCGGGAGGCTGAGGCAGGAGAATGGCGTGAACCCGGGAGGCAGAGCTTGCAGTGAGCCGAGATCGTACCACTGCACTCCAGCCTGGGAGACAGAGCAAGACTCCGTCTCAAAAAAAAAAAAAAAGAACAGATCTTGACTTCTGGAAGAAAGTCATTCTTACCCAGAGAAACCAGGTTCCAGTAGTTCTCCAACATCACATCCCTGTATAGAGTCCTCTGAGCAGGGTCCAGGCATTTCCACTCCTCCTGAGAGAATTCTATGGCCACATCCCTAAATGTCAACCGTACCTAAAATGAAAAACACATTTCACCAAGTGGCTAAGGGGAGAGTTCAAAACTTCACATAAAAGGAGAAGAGGAGAAAACTGTGAGAATAGGTCAAATTGAAGTGGGTGAGCTGACAGATCCAGATTGTGACAATGTGACATACAGATTTGGTCTTCATCCCCCTCTCCTGACATAAGAGGTCTCTTGAAATCTGTGGAGTGATAAGTGTCTTTTTGTACATTAATGGGATAATTGGTGGCTGGAGCACCTAGGTAGCTTCAGGATGGAGAGCGGTCACTGGAACTAAGGCTCGGAGGGTGGTCACTGGAAAGACTGAGGCTCGGTTAGACTAAGCCTCTGTCCTCTCGGGAGGGCAGAGGGAATGAAGGTTCAGTTGATCACCAATGCTAATGATGGGAGCAATGCCTCCATAACGGGGCCTCCATGAAAACTCAAAAGACAGAATACATCCCAGCTCCTCACTCCTCTCCCAGACCTCAGCTAATAGATCACTTCCATCTATATGTTCATCTGTGTGCTTTGTAGTATCTTCTCTTATAAATGGGTAAATATAAGTAAAGTGTGTCCCTGTGTTCTGTGAGCCACTCAAGCAAACTAATCAATTCCAAGGAGGGGGTCACCGGAATTCACAATTCACAGTTGGTCATTGAGAAGCACAGGCCACAACCTGTGTTTGCGACTGGCATGAAAGTGTGTGTGCTGTTGTGGGACTGAACCCTCAGTCTATGGGAGCTGACCCTATATCCAGATAGACAGTGTCAGAATGGAATCGAATATGAGAACACCCATGTGGGGTCTGTTGCAGAACTGTTTATTTCATGTGTAGAGGAAAACCCAATACCTCCAAGATCACAGAAGTATTCATATTATGGAAGCAAAGTAGGAGAAACTGAGTCTGTTTTTCCCATATTTCCCTATACATTAAGGACTTTTGAGCAAGTTATGTCTCCCTAATTCTGTTTGATTATTCTTTTACCTAAGAGGTTGTGATATCCTCTATATTAGTGTCCATTTCTCAGTTTTATGGGCAATAAGTATACAAATAAAAAACTGAAAACAGGTTATCTCTATGGAAGTGTTAGATATGTTTGACATACTGAGTGATAGTCAATATCTACATGAACTAAAGCACAACTGATACCTTAAGAAATGATAATGCGGCTGGGCGTGGTGGCTCACGCCTGTAATCTAGCACTTTGAAAGGCCGAGGCGGGTGGATCGCTTGAGGTCAGGAGTTCAAGACCAGCCTGGCCAACATGGTGAAACCCCGTCTCTACTAAAAATACAAAAATTAGCCAGGCATGGTGGCAGGTGCCTGTAATCCAAGCTATTCAGGAGGCTAAGGCAGGAGAATCACTTAAACCCAGGAGCTGGAAGTTGCAGTGAGCCGAGATCACGCCACTGCACTCCAAGCCTGGGCGAAAGAGTGAGACTCCATCTCAAAAAAAAAAAAAAAAAGAAAGAAAACTGTACTGAAGTGATGCTGTCTATAAGACAGAGGAGTAGGAAGTCCCAACCACTACCCATGGAGACACAGATTTCATAACACTACATGGACTAAATTGCCTTTGTGGGAAATCTGGCAACCACATCAGAGGTTAGAACTCTTTTGAAACACCTACTCACCTGAGGCCCTGCCCTGGCATGATGCAGTATCCCTGTGAGAAAACCACACTTCCATTTTCTCCTGGGGAGAGAAAGTACGGGAATATCCATCTAACATTCGGACTTCTTTTTTTCTCTTTTTTCCTGTAATACCACACAAGGCTCATAACGTTCTGACTTTTCAGGGCACTGCTAAGGGACAAGTTTCTGTCTTGCCTGAATACAAACACTGAAGTAACAGGACCCCAGGTAAGGAAGCTACTGAGAACAAAGCCATCCATCATAAACCAGAGCTTGTAGTAACGTAGGCAGACACTAGGTGGCGGTGCAGCCCCCAGCTTACTAGAACACCAGCGAAGCAAAGCTGCTGCGGAACAGCCGGCAGACAACAGAGGCTTTCCCGCACACAAACCGGCACAACTGCTTTAGTTAAGTTACAAGCAAAAAGTCCCTAGAAAAGGCGTGAGGGATCTCCAGAGCCTCTAGTCAGGATGACTGTAGCATGTCTTCCCTGAAGGAAGCCAGAATCAAAAACTAGAAGTGGCTGATTAGTGAAAAGCTCAGGTCCCAACAGGAGGTAACAAGATATCAAAAGAGGCCGGGCGCGGTGGCTCACGCCTGTAATCCCAGCACTTTGGGAGGCCGAGGCGGGTGGATCACGAGGTCAGGAGTTTGAGACCAGCCTGGCCAACATGGTGAAATCCCACCTCTACTTAAAATACAAAAATTAGCAGGGCATGGTGGCAGATGCCTGCAATCCCAGCTACACAGGAGGCCAAGGCAGAAAATCGCTTGAACCCGGGAGGCGGAGGTTGCAGTGAGCTGAGATCGCACCACTGCACTCCAGCCTGGGTGACAGAGTGAGACTCCATCTCAAAAAAAAAAAAAAAGATATCAAAAGGAAAAAAAAGAAACATGGACCGTACACAGCAACACATTAAATCACCACAAAGTAATACTAAAGCAGCATATATACACACACACACACACGTTATCAAAGAAATAACAATAAGACTCCTAAAGTTGCTCAATGTATTAAGGCAGTACTCATAAACAACTTCAGAAAATCAGAAAAACAATAAATATGAGACTATCAACAAAGAGATAAAAACTATGAATAAGAAACAGAAATTCTAGACTGAAAAACATAACTGAATTAAAAAACACACTAGAGCCAGGCGTGGTGGCTCATGCCTGTAATCCCAGCGCTTTGGAAGGCTGAGCCGAGAGGGCTGCTTGAGCCTGTGAGTTCAAAACCAACCTGGCAACATAGTAAGACCCTATCTCTACAAAATAAATAAATAAATAAAAATGAGCTGGGCATGGTGGCATGCATCTTTAGTCCAAGCTACTTGAGAGGCTGAGGTGGGAGGACTGCTCGAGCGCAAGAGTTCAAGGTTGCAGTGAACTATGATTGTGCCACTACACTCCAGCCTGGGTGACAACAAGACTCTGAGACACACACACACACACACACACACACACACACACACACACACACAGTAGACTTGACCAGGCAGAAGGAATCAATAGTGAAGTGAAAAAAGGAGAAAATGAGGCTAGGCACAGTGGTTGATGTCCCTTCTCCCAGAACCTTGGGATGCTGAGGGAGGAGGGTCGCTTGAGGCCAGGAGTTCAAGACCAGTCTGGGCAACATAGGGAGACTGTCGTTTCTACAAAAAATGGGCCAGGCGTGGTGGCTCATGCCTGTAATCCCAGCACTTTGGGAGGCCGAGGCAGGTGGATCACCTGAGGTCAGGAGTTCAAGACCAGCCTGGCCAACATGATGAAACCTCGTCTCTACAAAAATACAAAAACTTAGCTGGGCATGGTGGCGGGCGCCTGTAATCCCAGCTAATTGGGAGGCTGAGGCAGGAGAATCGCTTGGACCCAGGAGATGGAGGTTGCAATGAGCTGAGATCGCACCATTACACTCCAGCCTGGGCAACAAGAGTTGCCATATCGGGAAAAAAAAAATACACAAAATTAGCTGGGTATAGTGGCAGGAGCCTGTAGTCCCAGCTACTCAGGAGGCTGAGGTAGGAGGATCATTTGAGCCTAGGAGGTTGAAGGTGCAGTAAGCTATGATCACACCACTGTACTCCAGCCTGGGCTACAAAGTGAGACCCTGTCTCTAAAAAAAATAAAAAATAAAAGGAGAAAATGAAATAGAAGAATGATGAAGATAGTCAGGCATGGTGATGTGTGCCTGTAATCCCAGCTACTCAGGAGGCTGAGGCAGAAGAATCAGTTGAACTCGGGAGGCAGAGGTTGCAGTGAGCCAAGATCACACCACTGCACTCCAGCCTGGGCAACAAGAGTGAAACTCCGTCTCAAAAAAACAAACAAAAAGGTCTGCCTTGGCCTCCCAAAGTTCTGGGATTACAGGTGTGAGCCACCGCGCCAGGCCCAATCAGCAGCACTCTTAAACGCCAGTAACGTTCAAGCTGAGAAACACATCATCAAGAATGCAATCCTATTAAAAATAGCCACACACCCCCAAAAATGCCTAGAAATATGTCTAACCAAGGTGGTGAACTATCTCTATGAACTACAAAATACCAGTGAAAGAAATCAGAGACAACACAAACAAATGGAAAAGCATTTCATGCTCATGGGTTGAAAGAATCAATATCATTGATATGTCCAAACTGCCCAAAGCAATCTATACATTCAACAGTATTTCCTATTAAATGATCAACATAACTTTTCACAGAATTAGAAAAACCTTCTAAAATGTATATGAAAGCAAAAAAAAGAGCTCAAAGAGCCAAGACAGTCCTAAGCAAAAGGAATAAAGCTGGATGCGTCACACTACCTGACTTCAAACTATATTGCAAGGCTACAGTAAACAAAATAGCATGGTACTGGTACAGAAACAGACACATATACCAATGGAATAGAACAGAGACCCCTAAAATAAAGGCCCACACCTCCAACCAACTGATCTTCAGCAAAATCAACAAAAATAAACAATGAGGAAAGGATACCCTATTCAATAAGTGGTGCTGGGAAAACTGGCTAAACATCTGCAGAAGAATGAAACTGGACCCCTATCTCTCACCATATAAAAAAATTAACTTGAGATGGATTAAATAATATAAGACCTCCAACTATAAAAATTCTAGAAGACTTTGGCCTAAGCAAGGAATTCATGAAGACCTCAATAGTAAATGCAGCAAAATGAAAAACAGACAAGTGGAACTTAATTAAAGAGCTTGTTACAGAAAAAGAAACTATCAACAAAATAAACAATCTACAGAATGGGAGAAAATACTTGCAAACTACGCATCTGACAAATGACTAATATCCAGAATCTATAAGAAACATAAGCAAATCAACAAGAAGAAAACAAATTACCCTACTAAAAAGTGACAAAATAACATAAACAGACACTTCTCAAAAGAAGTCGTACTATTGGCCAACAAGCATATGAAAAAATGCTCAACACCTTGATCATCAGAGAATGCAAATCAAAACCATAATGAGACACCATTTCATACCAGGCATAATAGCTATTATTAAAAAGTCAAAAAAATAACAAATATTGACAAGGCTTCAGAGAAAAGGAAACACTTATACACTCATACACTTACGGGAATGCAAATTTGTTCAGACCATGTGGAAAGCAGTTCGGAGATTTCTCAAAGACTGAAAACAGAATTACAATTCAAACCAGCAATCCCATTACTGGATATGTACCCGAAGGAAAATAGATTGTTCTCTCAAAAAGACACCTGTATTCATATGTATATTGCAGCACCATTTACAATAGCAAAGACATGGAATCAACCTAGGTGACCATCAACAGTGGATCAGATAAAGAAAATATAGTAGACATATACCCTATGGAATATTATACAGCCATAAAAAAACAAAATCATGTCCTTTGCAACAACATGGATGCAACTGGAGGCCATTATCCCTAGCGAATTAATGCACAAATAGAAAAATACCGCACATTCTCACGATGGAAGCTAAACACTGGGTGCACAAGAACACAAAGATGAGAACAACAGACACTGAGGACTCCAAAAAGGAACAGGAAGGAAGAGGGGAAGGACTGAAAAACTATCTATCGGGTACTATGTTCACTACTTGGGTGATGGGATCTTCGGAAGACTAAACCTCAACATCACTAAATATGCCCACGTAAGAAATCTCATGTGTACCCCCTGAATCTAAATAGTATAAAATGAATCAAATAAAGTACGTACCAATGTACACACATTCAAATTCATAAGACACATTCTGTGGAAAAATCAAATTGTTTTTCCTACTATAATCTCAGAAAATGCTTCTAAAATCAGATGTGCCAGGTACAGTGGCTCACGCCTATAATCCCAGCACTTTAGGAGGCCAAGGCAGGAGTACTGCGTGAGCTCAGGAAACCAGCCTGGAACATGGAATGAAACCTCATCTCTACAAAAAAATCAAGCTGGGCATGGTGGTGCATGCCTGTAGTCTCAGTTACTCCAGAGGCTAAGGTGGGAGGATCCCTTGAGCCCCAGAGATCGAGGCTGCAGTGAGCTGTGATCCCACCACTGAACTCCAGCCTGGACAACACAGTGAGACCCTGTCTCAAAACAATAAACAAACAAACAAATAAATATATAAACAGATGTATAGTTTCCCCCCATACCAGCAAGCAATCAATTGTGCAGCAGGCACCGCCTGGGTGTCCTCCAACCCCAGTTCAGTTTCAACACCATCGACCTGGAGATAGTGTCAAATCCCACAGGTTGAGGGTTCAGTCCCACTTTGGGTGCCAATAGCAAGCCCCAGGTTGTTTTTCCTATGCTTTTGACAGACTATTAATCAGGGTTCCTGTAATTCCCTCATTGGGTTCAATTAATTTGCTAGACCTCACAGACCTCAGGGAGACACTTTATGTACATTTACCCATTTATTATAAAGGATATTACAACAAATGTATATGAAGAGATGCAGACAGTGAGGTATGGGAAAAGGGGCTGGGACTTCCATGCCCTCCCTGGGCATGCTACCCTCAGGAATCTCCGCATGCTCACCTATCCTGCAGCTCTCTCTGAACCGTGTGCTTTTGGGTTTTCATAGAAATTTCATGAAATAGGCATGATTAAACCATTGGCCACTGGTGATCAACCTTCATCGCCTCTCCCTCTCCCTGGCAGCTGAGGAGTGGAGTTTAAAGCCCCCATCTTCCAATCTTGCCGTGGATATTCTGGTGACCCGCGCCCTATCCTGAAGCCTGGTGGGGGCTGCCAGCTATCAGTCAATACATCAGCATGCAAAAGGCAACACTTTGGAAACTCTACAGATTTTAGGAGCTGTATATGCCAGGAACTGGGTCAAAGACAAAGGCCATGTGAACAACCCACCAGTAGATAAAGATAAAGCATATCATTTCATTTCGTAAGGCCTTCCAAAACAAGATAAACCAAACAAATAATTGAGAAAGGGGTAAGCAAAGAAAGATTACTTTTACAACAGAATAATGTGTAATTGAAAGGAACACAACAGTGCGTATATAAAGAATTAAACCAAGCCGGGCACGATGGCTCATGCCCGTAATCCCAGCACTTTAGGAGGCACAGTCAGGAGGATGGCTTGGGCCCAGGAGTTCAAGACCAGCCTGGACAACATAGTGAGAACCTGTCTCTACAAAAAACAAAAACATAAAAAATTAGCTGGGTGTGGCAGCACACAACTGTAGTTCCAGCTACTTAGGAGACTGAGGTGGGACAACTGCTTGGGCCAAGGAGGTCAAGGCTACAGTGAGTCACGACTGTACTATAACCGAGTACCCTCATTTTTCCAAGAAAAAGGGGGTGAGTTATTATTTTTTTCTCTTATTTTCTCTTTTCTCCATTTTCCCCCGTTCCCTACTTCCTACTTAGCCCTTTAGAAATACACTTATAACCTTTTACCTCCCCTTCACCAGACAGTCTCTACAGGGCAAGTTCATCTATGTGCTTGGAGCTCCAGAGGGGAATCTCACCTGCCAGGCCTCGAGACAGCAATCAGTCTACAACCCACAGTGCTGCTACAACACTCTCTCCCACCCGGAGAGTTTCAGCCACTTTTACAACCTAGTTCTGGTTGCCAGCTCAACCCCTCGGTACCTAAGGCACAGAAGCAAGTTAGGGGGACCCCCACCTGCTTGCTTCCTCTCCTGCGTGCCATTCATGCCAAGCCCCCCTTTTTAAAGCACCTGCTTTCTGCTCCAAAAGCAACGCAGTACCTTAAGGCAGGAAGCCTGTACTTCTTCCCCAAAGCTAGCTTTGGAATTAAAAAGTCACCGTCTTTCTACTAGACCTTGCTCTTGTTAACGGAACTCTGCCAGCAGCGAGCAACTGAACCTGCATGTCAGTGACAGAGCCGCTGTGCTCCAGCCTCGCTCCAGCAACAGAGTGAGACCCCGTCTCAAAAAATGTAATAAAAGTTAAAAAGAAAATAAACTGCAGAATACAAAATAGCTCCTGAATTCCAGGAACAGAAAATGGAGCAAAGTATAAAAATTCATTTCATATATACACATCTACAAAGTAATGCAACCCACTCAGACTCACAAGGAATAAGAAAATGAAAATGCAATGGGGTGCATTATCTCCAGATTTTCGTAATATAAAATGAACACAGTGGCAAGTTTGCTTAATGAGGGGGAAATCTGACGTGGTGCTGGCGCGAGAGGCCGCCTCTGCACCTGGGATAGGGATAGAATCTTGCCAGATCTAGCAACACGGGCAATGCACCATCCTAGAAGAGATCACTCTTCCCATGGCCAAGCCCGGAGGAACCCTCCACGATCTGTAGTGAAGTCGGCATGGTCACAGGCAGCCAGGGTGGCACCTTTTTTCTTCTCTTTGAGACAAGGTCTGGTTCTGTCACTCAGGCTGAAGTGCAGTGGTGCTATAATGGCTCACTGCAGCCTCAATCTCTGGGGTTCATGATCCTCCCACCCTGGCCTCCACAAGTGCTGGGATTACAGGTGTGAGCCACCATGCAGCACCCTGTGTGGTATTCTTCATAAAAGTGAGAAAGTTAAAAGATCCACCTGTCTTCATTCCCAGAATGCTCCGACAAGGATGTAGAAAAGTGAGCTCCTGTTTCCTAACACGAAAACATGTCAATGTTCAAAACTTGCAGGTTAACATATCACAACCAAACATTCACTGAGGAATTTGTTGAAATCTCGTAATGATGTCAAAATACACTTCTACAGGACTCGCACTGACCCTTCCCACACAACTGAGAACAGTGGCTTCCCACTGAGATGTGAGGGAGGGTGGAAGGCTGGACGGGAAACGGCATGCTTTCCCTCTTGGCGCATAAATGTATTGTTTCACTATCAAACAAATATATACATGATGCCATGTTTAAAATAAAAGAAACGAAATGTTGACTCATAACCGGTAAAACAAAAATACAGTTCCAGTCTCCCTAACGGCAAGGTTGTTCTGCTCATATGCCATTCTCACCTGCAATACCCGACGGACAAAGCTTCTTGTAAGAGCATCACAGTCTCCATGGGATAGAGTTTCTGAGACTAGTTCAATGAATCTTGTTACACATTTATGTTGATGTCATACATTAAACTGGATGATGGAATGAAAGAATCATCTATCTCCAATATCAGCGTCTAAATTTTCCATTCCGTTCCCAGTCTTTACGAGTTTGGAGTCGGAAACACAATGACTCACTTGTTCGGCTTCAAATGCACTAAAAATGAGGCAGGAAAGCTTTCCTCTTAGTGTTCTTATTCTACGCCAGTGAGCAGGTGCTTGTGCACAGTAATACCTGACTTCATGGGCAGCTTCTGTTATCATGGTTTACACAGAGCTGACAGTGCATCCAGATGTGGCCCCTGAACAATCCCCGCTGCCCAATAGCCCTGACACCACGGGACCCTCACCCCGTCCTCCATCCACGTCTGGGTGTGAGCCCTTCCCAGGACCATGCCCAGTGCCGCCTCTTCCCAAGTTTACGTCACTGGGTCCTGATGAGACGGAATCTAAGCGAGATGAGAGGGACTGAGGGAAGGCATGGGTGAGTGTCAGCAAACGTGTCAGGCAGGACGCTTCAGACTCAGAGAAGATTCGCAATGGCAATACCAGGTATTTCAGGAAGAAATAAAAGAACAATCCACCAGGAATATCACTTTACCTGAGTAAGGGCCATTCCTGACTCCTTTCCTTTCCTCTTCTTCCAGACTTCTTCCTTGGGTAACATAAAAGAATCTTTAGAAGTCAATACTGAATATCCAAAATATGCTGCTTAGGGCTGAGAATCTATACTTCCCCTTCATGTGCCACAATCACACGCACAGAAGATCTCACCCTATGGAAAGATGGTCCTCTGCGCCCCACTGCACTGGGGGAATACAGGCACAAGAAACTCCTACAGGAAGAAGTGAGCTTCTGACCCCTTTCTTCAGAACCTGCTCTCCTCCTGGAGAAGCCCACACATGCTGCAGCAGTGGGGAGCTGGGCTGGACTGAGCTTCCCTTTAGGGCACAGACCCAGCCCTGACCAAACCCCACGCAGAACACAGCCCCCTCACCTCTCTGAGGATCCCAGGCTGAGCTCAGCCTTCAGAAACAAAAGACAGGGATTGGTACTAAGCTGGCTACAGAACAGAGTCAACTGTAAATATTACTCGGCTGGGCTCTAAAACACTGAAATGAAAATATGTCAAGGGGGTACAGGAGATGTTTCTGCAAAACGCCTGGGCACTCTTAACGTGAAGCCAGGGTTGAGCTGCACTGAGGGGGCGAGCCCAGCACAGCCCCACCTTCTGCCTCTGCTCTTCTGCTGGGGACTTGTTCTCACCAGGATCCAGACTGGATATTGAAGGAGCAAAAAGAATCACACCGAACAGGCAACATGGACCAGAGGTGGGGGTGAAGGTGGGGCTGCCATGTCAAATGGGAGGCTGTGGGACATCACAAAGGTTTCCACAGAGAAAGTGATGTCGGAACAAAGTCCTCAGGAAGAAAGGCTGCTTGTCACTTGCAGCTGAGAGGCCAGAGAATTCCAGGCAGAGGGCCAGCCCACATGGAAGCCTTGAGGCAGGCGCAACCTTGGCTCCAGGAAAAGGAAAGGGGCCTGTGTGGCTACAGCAGAGGGGGCGGGGCGGACACGGGAAGGAGATGACATCCGAGAGGTCCTGAGGGGGCAGATCACACAGGGAGAGGTCTTCAAACATTCTTTCTCCCATACCTCAAAAGAATTTATGAAACCATGTATTTCCTCACCTGTTTTAAGTAAATGCGTAATTTTTTCTTTATTTTACAAAGTAACACACTTACAACATAATATCTTCCATATTTTACACGTGACAAGAAGTTCAGCTGAGCCCCAGGAAGTACAGGGTTGCCCTCAGCTGAGATGTGCAAGACTGCAGGGGGTGGACATGTTTGGAGGAGTTTGGGAAGTCACTTTTTTTTTTTTTTTTGAGACGGAGTCTGGCTCTGTAGCCCAGGCTGGAGTGCAGTGGCCGGATCTCAGCTCACTGCAAGCTCCGCCTCCCGGGTTCACACCATTCTCCTGCCTCAGCCTCCAGAGTAGCTGGGACTACAGGCGCCCACCACCTCGCCTGGCTAGTTTTTTGTATTTTTTAGTAGAGATGGGGTTTCACCGTGTTAGCCAGGATGGTCTCAATCTCCTGACCTCGTGATGCACCCGTCTCGGCCTCCCAAAGTGCTGGGACTACAGGCTTGAGCCACCGCGCCCGGCCGTCACTTTTATTTATTTAATTAATTAATTTATTTATTAATTTTTGAGACGGAGTTTCACTCTTGTTGCCCAGGCTGGAGTGCACTGGCATAATCTCGGCTCACTGCAGCCTCTGCCTCCCGGGTTCAAGCGATTTTCCTGCCTCAGCCTCCCGAGTAGCTGGGATTACAGGCGCCCTCTAGTACGCCTGGCTAATTTTTTGTATTTTTAGTAGAGACAGGGTTTTACCATGTTGGCCAGGCTGGTCTTAAACTCTTGGCCTCAGGTGATCTGCCTGCCTCGCCTCCCAAAGTGCTGGGATTACAGGCATGAGCCAGCGCACCCAGCCAGGAATTCACTTTTAGACATATGAAGATGGAGATGCCTGCTGGGATATTCCTGCAGAGTGTTTTGGAGACAACTGGACACAGGATTTTAGACCTCAGAGGGGGGTCTGCAGGGGACATGGAGCCGTGTATTAATAGGTGGGACATAAAGCCATGAGATGAGACAGTAAGGAAAGGCAGTGGGTGTGGAAGGAGACAAGAAGAGGTGTAGGGACTGAGCCATGAGCACTCACACATTCAGAGAACAGAAAGTTCTGGAGACACCAGAAGAGAAGAGGAAAGCAGAAAGTGATGAGAGTGGCAAGAAGATTGAATAGATATGTAAAAGTTAACGGGGTGTCATAAAAGCCAAGACAACAGAAGAGGAAGTGATTGGCTGTGCTACATGCTACCAATAGGAAGAAAAAGATGAGGACAGGACATGAATGACGGCATTTAGGAATGGGGAGGTCACTGATGACTGAAAAAGGAAGAATCGGTGGAATGCTGGATGTGAAAGCTAGATTCAAGCAATAATTCAAAGGTTGAAGCAAGAATTGAAGACAAAGTGGCCGCACATGGCTCACGCTTGTAATCCCAGTACTATTGGAGGCTGAGGTAGAAAGACTACTTGAGCCCAGGAGTTTGAGACCAGCCTGGCCAACACAGCAAGATCCTGTCTCTATATTTTTATTAAAAAAAAAAAAAAGAATTGAAGGCAAAGTAAAACTAGTTTTTAGTATATTATGCTCTTAAATAGAGCATAAATAGGTACTTATTACAGAGGGAAATGTAGTTGAGAGTATTTTTTGTCTTAAAGATGGAAAAGTAGAAGAAAAAAAGGCTTTATTACGCATTGGAGATCTGTTCAGAGAGGAAAAAAATTGTTCATACTACTCTGACACTCAACACAGAACGTTTCACCTCTAGTCACCAAAATGTGTGTCATTTTTCCCCACGATGGCAGGTTCTCCAGCAGACTACCAGGTAGGGAGTCCCAGGTAGGGAGTCCTGCCGTTTTCCTCAATTCTGACACTGTCTACAAAACAGAATCAGACACCACAGCTTGAGAGCTCAGTCGCACAAGGCTGCCCTCACTTCATATGCTGTACGCTCTGACTGACCTGATCGATGTGCTTCCCTAACACTTTGCTTGGGTTTGAATAACTAGCCAGCACAGCTTTTCCATCTGGCTGTTCATCTGTGTCCTTTGCAACATACTTTATAACAAATGAGTAAACCAAGTGTTTTCCTGAGTTCAGTGAATGACTGTGGCAGATTACTACAACCTGAGGAGGGGAGTCAAGGGAATCCCCAATTTACATTTGGTCGCCCAGAAATTCAGGTCCCAACCTGTGACTTGTGACTGGCATTTGAAGTGGGGGCAGCCCTGTGGAACTGACCAACCAGTAAACAGCATCTGATCCTAATTCTAGTTGGACAGTGTCAGAATTGAGTTGAATTATAAGGTCACCCAGTTAGTGTAGGATGGAAAATGCACTGCTGGTGGGAAGAAGTTCCTCCAGATTTTGGTGATGAGTTTTCCGTGTTGCGTGTTCACTATTATATTGACTGTACACTATTATATTGACTATAATCAGCATCATATAATACTAAATATTATGTAATCAGTATTACATTAACTCATGTTCTCGCCTCTACCCAATCCCAGGGAAAGGGAGGAAAAGGGTGGCCCACAAATGAATGAGTCAAGTCACTGCCCTCTGGTTGAAAAGGTTATAAGTGGAAGCTAACCTCTGATGCCATAATTATAAAATGCATAGCCTTATAGACAAGAGTTTTGCAATTCTCATCTTTATCTGTGTATTTTAAGCATATTTAAAACCTGTTCGATTATAAAGACAGAAATCAACATGTCACAACTAAGTTACCCATATTCAATCAACTCACCACTCACCTGAGCCAAGGTCCCCGCCTTCTTCCTTCCTGTGTGTTTTCCTCTCATTCTGTACATATCTCATCCTCACTTCTCTCTCTGGCTTTTTCTCTGTTTCCTCCCAGGTTTCTGCTCCTCATTTTGAGCCCCCCTCCTCTCCTGCTCTTTCTCCCCTTCTTCCCTCCTTTCCTTCTCTTCTGCCTGTTCTGCTCCATTCCTACACCTTCTTCCACCTTATTCCTCTCTCTGCCCAATCTTTTCATTGTTCCAATCCCAATCTCCACATATTTCTGCCTCTTTCTTCCCTCATGTGTGCTCCCCGTCTGCTCCCCCTATTAAATCCCCTCTTCCCTGTTACACCCCTTGTCCCCATTCTCTGGCACCCCCAGATCCCAAGCCTCCCCATGCTGTGGTTCTCCCTATGCTCTCCTTGTCACCAGCTGTCCCATCTTGCTGTCCCAGCACCACACTGCTGTCTGCCCTGGCTCCAAATCCCTCCTCCTCTCCCCCACTCTGTCTGAGAAGCCTCCCCCTTTCTGCCCCTCTCCTTATCTTGCTGTCTTCATCTCTCTGGAGACGCAGCTTTTCTCTACATTTCTTCAGTTGCTCCCTGCCCCACACTTTCTCAGCTTTGTCTTTCACTCTGTGTCTGTCTGCAAATTCCCCACCCATCCTCTGCGTTGCCATCTGTTCATGGTTCTCACCCATCCTTTTCACTCCTTCTCAGTTTTTCTATTTCCTCTCTCTTTCTCCTGATCCCGTCTTTCTCCTGATCCCCTTTGGCCACATATTTACAGGGAAGGGGATGGAATAAGATGCCCACCTACTGAAAGCACAAGTTCTAGTGGAGTGGAATCTGGACAAAAGAACATTGGAGGTGAACAGACAGGCCCGAGTCACCTCCTTCAACGCTGGGTCAGAGGAAGCCATGCTTATGAGGGGGAGGCCTGCGGGGCAGAGGGCAAGGCTCAATGAGAGCAAGATGGGCAGGTGTCTCAGAGGAGGGGTGGATCTGCGGAATCCCAGGACCAGGGCGAGGACTCTTGCACTGGAGCTGCGGTGCTGCGGTGCAGACACAATGAAGGGTGAGGCTTAGGGGATCCAAAGGGTGAATGCACCTCGCGGGTGAGGACTTTACAAGGCACAGGGTGGGAAGTGAGTAAAGAGTTTTAAGCAGGAAATGGCGTGAAAGGTGTCTACATGGCCTGAAGGCAGAAATACTGCAAGCAGGACCAGCCTGTGTGGTTCAATGGGAAGTGACCCCTGACCTCTCACGGACATCTCTGAATTTACTTGGGGATAAGAGAGCCATGAGGGGATATTAAGGTCTATAGGACCCAAAGTGATGGCTCACGTCTGTAATCCCAGCACTTTGTGGGCTGTAATTCCAGTCGAAGCGGGAGGATCACTTGAGCACAGGAGTTCGAGACCAGCTCAGGCAACACAGTGAGACCCCCTCTCTACTAAATATATATATTTTAAAAATTATTTAAACGTGGTGGTACACACCAGCGGTCCCAGCTACTCAGGAGGCTGAGATGGGAGGATCACTTGAGCCCAGGAGGTCCAGGCTGCAGTGAACTACAATCACGCCACAGTACCCCAGTCTGGGCTACAGAGCCAGACCCTATCTTAATTTTTATATATATATATATATATGTGTATGTATGTCTCTGAGGACTCCTGGAAATCAAGCATGGATGTGCAGGAGCCTGGGGAGCCCAAGTTTAACCTAAACAGAGGGAAACTCACGTGTGAGGCCTTCACTCCAAGTATCAGCTTCTAGAGGCTGCAGGAATCTGTAAGAAGAGCTGGGTTCCCTGCAGGCGGGGCCTGGGTGGGCGCCTCATGCAGAGGGGCCAGCAGTTGGGAGGAGCCTGAGGGATGAAGAGGGGAGGGCTTGGGGAAAGGCAGCAACACCTGTGCTTCCCTTCGTCTTGCTCCCAGGAGTCTGTTTCCAGAGCTTTGGAGGAGAGCCCTACCAGCGAGGCTGAAGCCACTCAGTGGGCTGGGAGCTAGGATCTCTCTAGGTCGTCGACGGGGCAGTGTTCGGATCCAGGAATGTTTCTGCAATACAGAACATGAAATGCAAAACTTGAGCTTAGCGGGGAGTGTACAATTTCATGCTGACCAGCAGAACCTCCTTTCCATTTCTATTCCCCACCCAGCCAGGAAGGACAGTGTCAACCTTGGTTCTGGAGCAGGGCTGAGACCTATGATTAGTTAGGTCAATAACTTGCTTTTTAAAAAGCAGTAACTTTTTACAAATAGCAACAAATTCCATCGTTCTTCCTTTATCCCATTCCACTCTTGAGATGACACAGCCTCAAATACCTTTGAGATAAACTTTGTCATCATAATATGCTTATGTCAATAATTTCTACATATAGTGTAATTTGAAATTCACTTTACATGCATTCTGAAAGTACTTGAAAAAATAGAAGAGAAACAAAAAAGCATAGATTACAATTTTTAAATAAAAATTGTTTTCTAAGTACTTATTTTAATCTGTTGTAGAAAAAAAGCCTGTAAAATCGTCTTCAGAAAA